ACGAGCGCTTACCTCAGCCCGGTGCCCGGGCGCGACGGCCGCCATCGGACTCGGTGGGCGGAGCGGACACCCGGGCCGGTGGTGCCTTTCCCGGCCTCGGCCCGGGGCAGCCCAGGCAGTGTCACCGAATCCCGGACCCGCAACCGTGTAGCAGGGTCAGCGTCTCCTCTCGCCCCTTCTAGGTCGTGTCAAGTCAGTATGGTAGCGGAATCTTTTTACTTGGTAAGCAACAGCAAGAGCCGCTAACGCGGCGGCTTTGAGGGAGCAGCCGGAAGTCCCGCCTGCGCGGTCCGCTCCCAGGCGAAAGAACCTCTTTTGAAGCTCTCATTGGAGAGCGATGCTGCCGCTCGACTCTGGGCATTCTGGGTAATGTAGTCCCCACAGTTCCAAGGCCCGGAGTTAGGGACAGCCTGCCGGGAAGGTCCAAGGTCCCGTGGGAATGGGGTAGGGAAAAGGCCGATTCTGTGAGATTCGCTTCCTCTTTGAGATAATGTAATCATATTTTTGCGCAGTGCTCTCTGCAGCTGATCACCCAAGTGTTTGGAGAAATTTCGGACCCAGGGAAGCTCAGCATACTCCCGGAGGCTAAGAATAATGTTCTGGGTGCTCCCAAAGGCTACAAACCAAATAAACACATCATTCCATAGAGTCTTTCAGACACTGATGTGTCCATGCCTAGTGGAAGCTAATAATTAGTGTCAGTTAGTGTCTCATCTTGGTCCCATTGATGACTGTGTCACCCCTCAACAATAGGCAGGTAGGCAGAGGGCACTTAAGCTCTGGACCTCCCATGCATGGCCACAACACCCCCTCTTTCCAGGCAATGCTTCTAGGGTTCCCCAGATCGCCTTTCCCAGACACCACCACCCATGGGCTGGCTATGAGGGCCCTGGGTCATAAGTTCACACTCCCTCTCCATGTGCACATCTCTCTTTCTGCCACACCTCTCACAACTGCACTCCCACAGACACAGCCCCTTCCTGTCCTACATCATGGTCATCTCCTCGGCCTCTCTAACTGTTACTCAGCATACGTTGCCCAGAAAATGCTTGCCAGATTAAAACAGGATCAAGTAGTATCCTAGACTCTGATTTCCCCACTGACAGAGGCAGCCTTGAGTCCTACTATGAAGTCCTCCCTCCCTGTTCCTTGCTTCAACATCATTACCAAGCATCAAATCAGATTTCAGATACCAGTGGCTCTGCTACGGTTGTACTGCACTTGTTACTTCACCAGCCTTCAGAGTCCGTGGATGGAGCAGAGTGGTAGAGGAGGGGGCACCTGGGCCCGGAGTTCCCTATCCTGGCCTGCAGTCAATCACTTTGATCCTTACTCAGCCTTTCAGAGCCTCTGATCCCATGGAGAAAACCTGGAGGAGAATGGGGGAAGTCCTGCGCTAACATCATTTCCAGGCACGGAAATGACCCTCTCCTGGGCTTTCATTGGAGCAACTCAGTGGTCTTCAGAGCAGCATTTTCTGGGTAATTACTGCAGGGGCCTGCTGCAAGGAATGTCCTTAGTGTCACATGGGGGAGAAGAAGTCTTGGGCACCATGAGGGGCACTGGAAATTGTAGAGATTTCAAGGCGGAGGGCTGGGGTCTTTGTGCCTTCTTAGAAGGTCCACAGGCATACTGCAGGGGAATCATGTCCACAACTCATTACTTTTGTGTGTAGAAATATAAGGGAGGAAAATGTTTTCCGCTACCCATCCTAAGTTCTCTCCTCAGGCTTTTATAACAAAAGACATTAACAAGAGAAAAACGTAAATTTATTAGCATGTATATCTCATATGTACACGACAGAGAGTCTGGGTTGAATAACTCAAAGACAGGGGTTTGTATTCAATCTTCTATATCATCTTCAGCAACAGAACAGTACAATATTAGGGAAGTAGCAAGACAAGGGAAAAGTACCTGAGTCTCTAGGAGTGGCATATTGTGGGAAGGCAAACATGGGAAGCTAATGTTAGATAAAGGATAGTTAGTAAATTGTGTTATGTAAATTGCTATGGTGCTGTCGCCAGGCTGATAGGGTCTAAGTTTGTCTTTGGTGATTGACTTTAGTCCTAGTAAATTTCTGTCCAGCTTTTAGGCAAATAGGCGGAGAATAGAGTGTTTTTCTTGTTTTTGCTGCTTCTTAACTGCTTTAGTTCAAAATAATTCTGTGTTGAGTGATAATGTGGAGTTATGTAGGACCTCTAGTTTCACTGATGGAATCAGACCTTCACAAAGGACCAAATAAATGATGAAGAGAATGGCAGATACCCCTAGGGATCCTGAAAAAAAGCAAAAACAAAGCAGAGGGAAGACACTAGAATTTAGGGCAACTTTAAACAGGGCAACCCCAGAAGGGCTCTAAGAGAAGGGAATACTGGAGTGAGTCTAGAATGAAGTGAGGGAGGGAGCCATGGGGACAACAAATGAATAAAATGCTTAAATCTTGACAGTGATTAGCACTACAACAAGAGAACACAGGGCCTCTTGACCAGTTACATCCAAAAGGACACATCATTTCTGCAGTTATCATAGTCGAACAATTTAATGGACTCACTTTCCAAAATTAAGTAATTACCTTAAACAGGAAAAGAGATTGTTATATATTTGTTTTGTGTAATTTCAAATCTAACTGTTCATGAATAAGCGAAGTTGTTGCTCCAGCCCTTGGCACTCAGTGCACAAATACCCAGTTAGCCTGAAATCAATCAGACTGCACCTGTGTATAGTAGCTAGCATAGAACACGGGTAATGATATGTAGAGTTCTTGGAAATCCATGCCTATTCCCAGAACCCCACTTGAATAGGCCACACCCAAATTATAACCACCCTTAAGAATCAGAGCCCCAGGGCGCCTGGGTGGCTCAGATGGTTAAGCATCTGCCTTCGGCTCAGGTCATGATCCCAGGGTC